TTTGTTTAAATCGTCTTTATTTTATAGAAGGTTGAGTAATGGTGTTTTTGCTAATAACAAAATTCCAGTAAAAGAAAATTAGTATTCATCATCACTTCGTTCATTTTTCTAAGAGTCTATTTTTTTGCAACCAGATCCATCTACATGTAAACACATATACATACATATATAATAGCAAAAGTTTTTCTGTACTTCGCTTATAGACGCCGATTTTGGTAAAATTTTCAGCATGACGTCACTGAAGCCCGGAGTGTGCTCCTGTGAATTTTGATTTCCTGGATCTGGGATCGATGTATCCAAAAAAAATCTTACTTATTTTTCGGGTTTCTTGAAATTTAGGACACACTGATAGCTGTTTACCTAAAAAAAGATGAATTACAGTTATTTTCAGGAATTCAAAAATTCTCTTTTATAGTTTGATTTTCGCCTCGTCCACTTCGCAGGGAAAACAAGAGTCTTCTCTTAATTTAACAAAATGCCATGTAGGTAAGTCCCTGGTCAGCATTCCGGAAGAAAGTGGAGTTTTCCTGTTAACCTATGCAAAAAGTTACCTAAATAACGGATTTCAAGTAAATCGAGCCATACTATAAGATGCAGAGGCATGGACGATAACAACCCTTCATCTGTAAGGCAATCATATGCCGAAAAAGCAAGCCGCAACGAAGCGATAAATTTATCGTTAATCGAAAAAACTACAGTTGCGGTTGAAACATTTTTCGTGTTGTGCTGTTTAACTGAAATAATTAAATAAATAAAACGGATAATTTCCAAATTCAATTTATCTTTTTGTATATTTTTGAAAAAGGTGTGAGATCAAACTTGTGAATTAGTTTTGTTATATATTCACTACCAACTATTTGCTAATTGAGTATAGTTGCTGTTGTTTAAACTTATAGTAAATTTTTTTTTGGCAAAGTCATCACTTTTGGAAAGCGTAGCTGCTAAAAACTCATAAGGAAAGGCCGCATTCAGTTACAAAAGTGTGGCATAACTTTTCATCATTATTTATGGACTTCTATAAAACAATTTTGTATTTGGTATCTTCTGGCACGTTTCTCACTCCAACGCATATTTACATATTTAATGGCAGTTTCAATGCTGAATGCGCTTTATTTTGTCGTTGCAAATCACTATCGAAAAGATCATCCGTTGGGCGGTTTGGAGCAGGCATAGACGAATTGGTTCAAAAAGTTTTTCTGAAAATTGCACAGAATTTATCACTGTCTGGGAATCATATATGGTTCGTCGCCATGTTATCGAAACGAAATGAAATTGTTAATATTGAAACCGCACAAAACGCATCGTTAAAGTTAACTTTAGAATGTCTGATTGCTATAATTTAACAGCACACTTCAATGCTAACATTTAACATTATCTGTTAACGATATAACATTTACGAATGTTACTGCTTTTTCGGGTAAAACAAAATAAACTTTATGTTGATAACTGCTTTGATAAACATTTATCGTTACAATGCACCCTTGTTCTAAACATATCCATGCCATACTGGAATTTTGCGTTACAGGACTTTCGAAACCTAAGCATACCTTTAATAGTAGTTTAATGGAGTAAAAAAGTGCACATTAGTGAGAATAAAGACATTTTTTTATAACAAAGTATGCTTTTGTTTTCATAGAACTTTCTCCCGACCCGCAAATTTATCTGTGCTGTTAACCACGCGGTATGAGTACGAGTATATGGCCATGTGCTAAACTTTTCAGAATCATGTGTTCCAAAATGAAACGTACAGCTAAATCATTTTTTCTTTATTCACCGGTAAAATTTAATATTGGCAATAACTTGAACAATGTAAAATATTCTAATGTAAGAATATGCAAACAACATTGTGCGTATTGATAGCATTTAAATAATAGTTGTAATTTAAATTTGCCAATGCCTGAATGTAGGCCCAAATACAAGCACTCTTAATTGTAGTTCTCAGAATCATGGAACCCCTTCTTTCTGGGTAACGTGGTACTCTACCTTTAAGGGGTTACATATGGTTATAATTTTCAAAAATATATTTTTTATATTTCATTACCGTAATGTACATGTATGCAAGTAAACACTCAGGTCTACACGACTGTTATTTTGGAAGTTACACGCGTCAGGGCATTTGAAAGCGATTAGCGAAACTTTGAATTCGTTTTTCTTAAAACGATATTTTTCAAGTCGGTGACCAAGATTTCTCTGGAACGACTGAACCAATAAGTCTCAAATTTTTTCATGGGCTACTGAACAATATTTTGGAGTACTTAATTGAAGCTTTTCCATTACCTACGAAAAATTTTTTTTGCACAATTCAAGACCAAAATTATGGAGAAAAATTTAATTTTTTTTTGAGAAATGTAATGTAATGGTGGCTACATTACACATTACTTTACCGAAATTCTTCTTCTGAAATACAATGGTCACCGCAAAACGTCTGCTGCAGCAGCTCAAAAACTGTTATTTTTACAAATAAAACTTGATAGCTACTCTTGAAAAGTGCCATAATATGTGTACAAAAGCAAAAAATAATAAATTTTCTATTTTTTTCTTTTGAAAAATGTTTGAAAAACCTAATTTTTTCAGGCTCCTAATTCGGTGTAACCCCTTAAAGTAGCAGTGCCAGTGAAACAGCAGTGTTCTGTGAACAAATTCAGGTCAAACTTATTATTTAAAAATAATTTTGAAAACTGGGAAAATTATTTGCGTAAATACATCGCTTTTAGAATATTTGTATATACTCCTATGAAGAAACAGGTCTATATTTCAATGGGGGAATAGACTTCCATGCATTCCTAACTACAGTTAACAATTGTATTATATTTGACGGATTCTCTTCCCCTACTGCTTACTTTACATCTGCCCAAAGATTGTCAATGGGATTAAGATTAGAAGATTGAGCCGGCCAGTTGCTGGTAAGCTAAGCGTCGTTTTCTCCTTTATAGACCCATTTTAGCGGCATCTACCACTCAGCATACAGTAGCCTACACGACTCCATTATTTGGGCATACCATTTGGCATCTATGTTCTACTTTATCCAATATATCCGACTTGTGTCATAGTAGGAGGAACAGTCCCACACATTGATTTTGCCACTGTCATGTTTTACAGTCCGGAAAAAGTATCTGTGGTCAAATGGATCATTTTCTGACCTTTCGCACATATATTGTCGGCGTTCCTTTGGAACCAAACAAAGCAATTTTTGTTAAAAGTATTAAGTTAACTGAATACATGGTTTGTTTGTATGAATTGAATATTTTTGTTAAACAACAAAGAAAAATGGTAGGAGTGTCAGCAGTTTCGAAGATCACCACATCTCCTCATCAGACGTCTTTTGGCTGTCGCTGAAAAGAACAAATTAGAGCAAGCAAATTAGAATCAAAACTACTATAAAAAATATCGAACAATTTGACATTAAACAAAATACATTCCGCGATATGCAATGATGTGAGAGACGAAGAAGTAAAAAAGCCTTAACTGAAACTACTGTGTCACTCATAACCTTACTAGCTAGTTTCACGCTCGCTGTTTTTAATTATCCGGTGAAATATGAGCCAACTTTTACTAATATTGGTCCATCTAAGGCCATCTAAGGCAAATTAAAAACTTATTTTTTAATTTTCAAGGCTATTTCAAGTATTTTTCAAAAGATCGGGATATCACTAAAAAAATAGACTTGCCTTTTGTATATAAGTGGTTTTCTGAAATTTCGTAAATTTTAACTAAATTACTGCCTCAAAATATATTGCCTCAAAAATATATTTTTGGGAACATATCTCCAAGACAAGGCATGGCGTCAAGACGTTCCATTATTCCACGTACCAAGAGAGTCGTATAACTACTGCATATTCTACAAAATATGGACGATTTTTATCGCCATAATTCACAGATCCTACCAATTTTTCAAATTTCGTTAAAAAAACACATAATGGACATAAACTTTTGGTTAGGACCGAATCCCCGACTTCTGAGCTTTCATGCTACTATTATTACAACCTGGATCACGGGACCACCTAGAAACGAACTAGGCGTGAGTTCTCTTTTCTGGAAATCTAAGGAATGGCCTTATTTATCTATAAGTTAACGGGGATAGAAAGGCCAAAGCTAAAATAACTGCCGATAATTTTTAATCTTTTTTCCTATTCTAATTTTTCCTGTCGAACAATACCTGAGATCAAACTTAAATTTGTTTGAGTACACTTCTCAAAAATATTATTATTTAATTCTAATGTCTCTAAGTTCATTACTTCCTCCTTGGCTCTCTGTTTTATACGTTAAAAAAAAGTCTACCGAATCAATACTTGTTTCCGAACTAAATTTTTCAACTTGAAAAAAACTTGTAGAACTAGGTGCTTCGGCCAAATTCCTATCAGGAACGGCTCTGGGCGTACTAACATCCAAGCAGTTATAGAACATTAATTTAAATTAAAAAGTAGGCTAAATTTCCTAATTGTGGTCGCTGCTCGGCAAGGAATGTCACCCCCTCCGAGTGTACTTCTGGCATGAAATAAACTACTCATAAAAAAAACCATCAGCCGCTCGGAGGCGACTTAGTATAAACTGTAGGTCCCTTCATTTGTTGGAAACACATCAAGATGCAAAACCACAAATTGGAGGAGCTCGGTCACAACTGCACTTATGAACCTCGTAAACATTTAAATTAATATATCAATGCTAATTACCTTTGAGCTAAAATATGTTTTTACGTTTTGGAATTAAAAAAGCTTTGTAACGTTAGGTGTGTTCTTTCAATATGAGTACCTATCTCTCTCTGTCTCCGAATGCGAAGATTTGAAAAAGTGATGCCTTTCCTCACATTAAGCCAAGCAAGTTATGAAACTTTTGGCTTATTTGCAATTAAGTTGTACACAGATATTAGTCTCATTTGATGGGAATAAAAATACTTGTTGTATTTAATCTAAAGTATTATCACTATATTTATCTTTTCCAACGTACTATTATTCACAAAACCAACTGCTTCTAAGAAAATTCATATCACACTTATTTTTCAGCTTCTTTTGTTGGGTTTTATATGACATCGCGCAGTTTATGATATCGGCTGTTCAATACACCCCGATTGGACACTACCGTCAAAATTATAATCTGAGAGCAAATGAACAAAATGAGCAAATTCAAGTAAGCTGAAGTATTGTATGTGTTATAAGATAATTGTGCAGAAGTTAGTTACCTGATAACCTTGAATCGTTTCAACTTTATGGTTCCAATGGTCCGAAGTACAAACCGGATTTTTGCAAGAATACCAAAAAGCATTTTCCACCATTAGCCTCACTCAGCATATCCTTTCTGGCGATTGAAGATGATCACATAAACTAGTTTTGTATAAGTGTTGTCAGCTCTTTTTGATGAATATCAAAAATATTGGGATTTGACGACCGATAATTTGATCGCGTCCACTTCCTTGAAAACAACGCGACTATTCCATACACGCGCGAAATATATACTCCACGCGGACAATGGAATAATCTAAAACTTACCACAATCCATGCAAAAATATGGTCTAATTAACATTATAATGGTATCCCGAGGTTGGACCGAAGAATCCATTGGGTACATACATAAGTGAATTAATCCAAAAATTACTCCACCTTATAGTGGGTTGCATTACATACACATATACGAAAAATTACATTTTCAGCTTCGAATTCTATTCGCAGTAGTTAGAGCATTCATCTAATATATATATATAGCAAGATAAGATTTATCAAATGAGTTTTAGTTATTATTTTTGAAATATAATAGGCCAAGATCTGGCCGTCAAAGGAAGCCATCCCGACGTGGTGTTAGTTTTATCATCAAGGAGGCCACAAAAAAACGATCCAACGATAGCCGACAGCATCGCTGCAACATTAGGTAATAATTTACACCAAAAATGTAGCAAAAACTTTACAGAGAAATACCTAGCGATGTAGGGTTCTATGTAAAAAGCCTGTCATATCTGAGATAAATAAAATAAATAACTTCGTCTTGAAAATATATACAAGTATATATATTTAATTTGGAGAAAATTTTGCATAAAGCAGGGTAAGCTTATCAAATCCAAAATCTCCAAAAGCTAGAGCAATTTTAGTAATTTAATCCAAGCCTCGAGCAGGTTCGAAGTTTTCATTTTTACAAGTCTTAGAAAGGGTGCCGGTGATAGCAAAAAGAATATATGTCCGAGCGAAAAAAAATCCATTTCATCCAGCTTCAGTTTTAAATTGTATATTTTAACTAAAAAAGTTGGACAAAAGTATTGTTTAAACAATTTTTGATTTTTCTATTTTCAAAAGCGTGACTTTTTTCAAACTTAGAAAAAATGTCGAATATGCACACTCCTAAAAATTAAAAAAAAAATAGTTTGACTGTTTCAGATACACCGCACGACGCATATCAGCGGCGCCATGAAGCCGCTTCAGAACTCATTACTACATCGGAAATTTCCAATATTTTTTGATACCAAAAAGTGTTTCTGAAGCTTAAATATAGTACATTAATGTTTGAAAAATTCGTTCACCTCAATTATCTTCTTCGATTTCAAAAAAATTGCTAAAATAAAACGCTTGTTTCGGGTACTGAAGAAGACTGCTGCCTTTTGCACGGTGGATGTAGCGTCGTAGTTTGGGAAGCGATTGGAGCAACTTGAGAAAGGCGTTTATCGATGGATTAATGAACAAATATGTTTTCAAAACTATTTTGGAACAACATATACTGCATATGATTGGAGGACTGCTTGGGTTTTAGGAAGTTTGTGGACATACCGCGGGCTTGGTGAGGGATAGCTGCTGTATTATGCTCCTGGTCATGTCTATAATCAAAATTATTAAGTTTGATTTGAAACACTTTGTGCATTGTTTCTGTTTTCCATATATGTATGTATGTAATTGCGATCGTGAAAACACGAGCATTTCATTTAAAATATATTAAAGTACAAAAAAATATATATTCTAGAAAATGAGACCTAGAACAGAAAAGCAAAAAAATTTATTGTCTACAAACTATGGTCTTTGGAAGTACGTACGGATTTATTTTTTAACTATTTTTTGTGAAATAATAATATTATTCTGGTTTATGCTACTCAATAAATCATTGGCATGCCAAACGCATTTCTTCCGCAGGACGACTGCCACACTCTGGCGTCATTCCTGCTATTAATTTAAGAATATTGTCACTCACAGTGAATATTTGTAGGGTAAAAAGACTGTAGTATTACAATTGATATAGGTAGTTTGGATAACCAAAACGGGCAAGGCAATGTTGTAAAAGTAGGTAATGAAAATTCAAGCCCGATAACTCGTCCTTCATAGAGAATAGATGTAGTTAGAACAAGGGCTAATAGTAGGCAGACTTAAACGAATAGTTATTTATCGGAGTTGATACACAGAAAAAGAAGATATCGGCAAGAACTAAAACTAGAAATATTAGAAAATAATCAATATTTGTCTGTTGAAGTAATTGAGCGAAACGAAAAATGGTATTTTGCAGAGCTTTGTTGCGCATTCACTCCCCATGTTGCTATTTGTTTAAGAAACAGCTTGAAAAATACAACGGGTTATAAATTTGATATAAAAACATTATCTCTAGCGGCAAAATTCTTATCACCTATTGCATAAAAATATTTCAATTGGCCATTGCAAAACCCTTGCTGCAATTACAGCATCACAAAGGCTCTGGAACAGAGAATCCACTGAGGCTGAGGTATGTTTCGATATGTTGTGACGAACTGGATATTAGGACTAGGAGATGATGAAGACGAAAATCATACTTCCCGGGTTGCTATGTTCATGTGTTTTTAAGATTTTCGTCCACGGTATTGATACAGAAACTTGGACATTTCCATTAGCTTATTTATTTTGAGCATCCAAATGAGAGGTCATGAAAAATATATATTTGAAGCCATTGATCAGCTCCAGAGTTTTAGCTTGCGTTCCTGCCAATTAGCCAATGATCAAGGATCAACTTTTTTTTGAATATTTCGAGAATAGTAGGAGTAACAACAAATAGCCTATTTTTCTTTTTCTTCAACTCGCCTCATCTTTTGAAATCACAACAAGAAAATGCTTTGAAAATAAGAAAATATCTGTGTTTTTTTCACGGCAGACCTGTTTAGTGGTTGGTCACAGAGCACGTTCGCACTACTAGCAGTAGTCTAATTTTTGTTTAGCCAATCTGTAGTCAAAGTTCTATGATTCCATCCTTTATTGATACAGCAGAGTATTTGGAGGGTTTTAATCATTTGATGACAAGAAAACTGAAAACAGGGCAAAGTAGACAATTTTTTTGATTATATATTCCCCAGTGTTCCTGGTATCTTTTCAGACAATCATGTGACATAGGGTACAATCGAAGCCTCAATAAGGGAAACTGTGAACTCTTGCCAAAAAACCAATGTAAGTCATTATCCACTGGCTCCCTACAAAATGCCTCCAATATCGTTTTGGTTAGAGATACATCCTGGCACTTTTCGAAGATTGCCAAGACCTACCTTACCTTTCTTCGAAAATAATCAAAACGTAATAAACAGATGTGCATATGTAGATGTCTGTAGGAATCTACTTTAACATTAGTAACTTACTATTTTCAACTTTTCGATTTTTACGCTACTGAATTTTTAACATCAAATTTTTTCTTTTTCTGATTATTATATTTTTCATTTTCAAACAAACAAGAAGTGTTAAATAAATTTTATTGAAAATAAAATATTTCTAATTTTTTATAAATACACTTGTATTTACATCTACTATATTATATATAGAGCTCTGTCCATTTTGCAATCCTACTTGTCGAATTTTCAATAAGTTTTCGGTGACCATAAAACATCAGTTGCAGTAACATCAATAAAATAACAAATAGAATTCAATTCCGCCAATCCTCCAGAGCAGTTATATATGAATACTTGTATGTAAAAGAAAACATACAGGAACGTTGGACACCCGGAAAATTCTCAGTCCAAAATAACACCAATTTGTGTGCACCGTTTGCTGTTGATGTTTATCAATTCCATTTGAATGCACTAAATATAGCAATTTAATTGAAGACTTTTACTTCTATCAATATCAAGAATTACAACAATCAACAAAATTATCTAACAGAAAAGTTCAGTAACAGGTTTATATTAATTGCAGCAAATTATTATCAATCTTTAAATTTATATAACATACACTTTTAAATTAAGTTAATTAACTAAAATCTAATTAAAATTTATCAAATTCTTGTAAATTTTTTCTCAAAACATGCATAGATCACCCATACGCACACGTAAATTTACAACAACAGATACACAAAATTAAATCCCAACTCTAATACAGATTTAAATACAATACAAAATTGAACACACATCTTGAAGATAATTTTAGACCGTATCCCAAGTCAAATGAATTACCTCCTTTTTGGAATGAATGTCCTGACGCATGGTTTTTGCATGTTGAAGGACAATTCGAAATTAACAACATTTATAATGATAACATTAAACTTTAAAATGTTTTAATTTCTCTTCAACGAGAAACTATTTTCAAAATTATTGATGTTATTAACCCATCTCCGTTTTCGTAAAAATATGAAATAGTAAAGAAAGTTCTTTGTGAGAGATTTTCTTTTAGTGAACAATTATTTTCAAATATTAAACTTGCTGATCGTTCACTTTCAGAGCTTTTTAGATACATACATATGTATGTATGTGAAGTCGTTAACTGGTCAGATTCAATTGTTAGTTACGAATTATTTTTTAAACTATGGATTCGTAAACTACCTCATCAAAAAATTAAATTCACTTAACTTCTTCTAACAATCAAAATAAAAATGAAATTATTATTTTGGCTCATAAAATTTTAGATTCAATTACAATGATAAACCTCAAGTGTCTTCAATAGCAACAACAAATAATAATAATATTTTATAATAATGCATTAAAAATTTCACTGACAACAACCGAAATGTATCAAACTTAAAAAAAATTACAGCAGATATTAATTAATTACAAATTAGATCTAGATATAGATCAAGATCAAGAAATTCATAAAGACCCAGAAATAATTATAATAAAAATAATATTAAGCCTTGAAATGTGTTCAACCTTGCAATTTTTAACCAACCAATGCTATTTCTTTAAACAAAAATGTTCCCTTATGACGTTAGCTGATAATGAAAGTATTAATAAACTTACACGTCGCCATTATATTTTCGATAAATTTAACAAATTAAATTGATTATTTTCAAAAAATTCTGATCTTAAACTTTCAGCCGCAAACAGATCTAATATAGAAACATTTGAAGATAAAACTTTTAAAACCGGATTTAGGTTTATGAAGAGATTTCGAGCTCCCATTTAAAATTGCCGATATTTCAACTCTAATTAATTAATTTTTTTTTAAATTTGGAATTTTAGTAGATATCAAAAATAAAGAAATAACGAATTTAACAACTAAATTAAAAATTTCTGTATCTACTGGCTTTTGTGACATTTTCTCATTCCCATTTTTGAAAATAAATTTACGAATATTTTAATTAATTAATAATTAAATTTCCAAACATTACTTGTGAACCAGATTACACCAAACAATTGCAACATCATGTGATTCTTCCATTTTTTAAACCTCGTCGGCCTAATCCTATAAATTAAATATAGCAAAAATGAATTTGAATTTTTAGTTAAAACTGGTTTTTGTCGAACATCAAATTCACATACTGCGTCTCCTTTTCATTTAGTTACCAAAAAATAACCGAATAATTGGAGACATGGCGGCGAATACAGAAGATGAAATTTTATTATTATTCCAGAACGAAATCCGTTACCTCACATTCACGACTTAAAAGACAAAACAATATTTTCAAAAATTGAATTAGTTCGTGATGACATGCACCAATACCAAGGTCTGAGCAAGATATACACAAAACAGCAACACAGCAAAATAGCCCCCCCTTTCGGAATGTGAGTGTTCGAAATTGTACGTATACCTTTCGGACTAAGAAATAGTAGTAGTGAAGTATTTCGATGAT